GAAACGGAGGTGGTGACCGAGCTGGTGACGGAGACGGAGACCTGGGAGCTGGGCACGGGGACGGCACAACCCTTCACCACAGCTGAGACCTACACCGTGAACTTTGGTGACTAGGAGATGCTTGTCCCCTGGCTCCTGCCTGGAGCCAAGGCTGGAAACGGAGGTGGTGACCGAGCTGGTGACGGAGACGGAGACCTGGGAGCTGGGCACGGGGACGGCACAACCCTTCACCACAGCTGAGACCTACACCGTGAACTTTGGTGACTAGGAGATGCTTGTCCCCTGGCTCCTGCCTGGAGCCAAGGCTGGATGCTCACGGTTGGTTTGGTCTCACCTGGCATCTGCTTCTCAAATCCTCCTCGAGCCCTGAGCTGCCCGCTCTGGGCAGACTGTCCCGGGGGGGCTCCAGCTCCTCGCTGGTTCCTAGGACTGCAGGGCACGCCGTGCCCACGGTCCCCCCCAAGGCTGGGCAGCTGCTGAGTGTCCCCCTTGCCCAGCTCTAGAGCCAGGCAGGAGAGGATGTGCTGCCCCATCCCTCTGGGGCACTGCCAGGCAGTGCCAGCCCCTTGCCTGGCAAGGGAAAGGGGGAAGCAGGACCCAGCCCTCACCCCCCCATCTCCTGGCACAGTGGGGTGGCAGGGGGGGTGTCACTCTCCAGGGCAGGGTCCCCACAGAGGCAGGCACAGCCCCTGTCACCTCCACACAGTTTTTTATTACACAAATAAATCGAGTTATATTGGTACAAGTGTCTCTTCTCTCCCGTGCCCTGGCAGCTCCGTGCCAACCCTCCCCGGAGGGCACAGGGGTGACATAAAGGTGGTGGGTTGTCAGGACCATCCAAAGGGCCAAGGGTTTATTGAGTCCCTGCCCTTCCTGCTCAGTCAGTGCCCAACCTCCATGTCCCCATCATCATCCTCAGCCCCAAAGCCCGAGAAGCTGATGGGTTGGCAGCTGAGGTCACGCAGGTTGACCAGGCAGGCGGTCTGCGTGGTGCTGAAGGTGGGCACTGTCACCAGCAGGACCTGCTGCCCTTCCTCCCCTGCAGAGACAGGTGGGTGTCAAGGACAGATGAACCCCAATCAGCACCCCAATGTGGGGGTCCCCAGCCCTGAGTGAGGGTTTGGAGGGGGGTGTGACAGGTTGTAGGACTCACCTTTGAGCAGCTTGGACTGGAAGCGGGGAGCGTTGCCGCAGAAGTAGACGTGAGGACAGTCAGTGAGGATGAAAGGGTCTGACTTGTAAAAAGGGTAACAGCCTGGGAGGGATGGAAATTAAGAGGGGAACTGGCACCTGGCATCACTTTGGAGGGCAAATAACCCCCCCTCCCCAGCCTCAGTAGCCACCCCCAGCCCTCGCCTTACCCAGAGTATCAGGAGCTGTGGGGCTGATGTGTCCCGCCAGCAGCGTCCACTCCAGGATCTCCAGGTAATCATCCATGCTGCTGTATTTAAAGATGTCACTGACATTTTGCCCTGAGGTCCCTAAAAACCTACAACATTTGGAAGGAAGAAAGTAGAGATTCAGATGACTCTACCTACCATGACCTACCCAGAAGATGTCCAAGAGTTGGTAGCACACCAGGTGGGTTTTTTTTACCTGACTCCATCCACATCAGCCTGGTAGGGGTTGGTGACCAGCCGGAGGGTGGAGTAGGTGCTGGAGAGGGGCAGCATGCAGTGATGCAGGGGCTGCTGGGGCAGCGTGTAGTTGGTGGGGTCAAACTCACCGGGCATCACATCCACGTGCACGGAGGTCTGTGGGAAGAACTGGGGTTACCAGGGATCACAGAATCACACAGA